AAAAATGTAAATAGCAATATCCAGATAAACCATATTGCCATAGTCTATTAATTATCATAAATGTGAGTAAGTTTATGAAAGATGAAACTGCTTTGCCTGTAAACAGAGTAGATACCATTCAATAAGATGAATGACAACTGATTTGGAACAGGCTCAAATGAATTAAAATATGAAAGAATGGATCACTTAAATTATCACCAATGCCTGGTTTGTAGCTGACATAGCTTGAGACAAGGGACCTCCTAGAAACTGTTGAAGTATTCCTATTCCCACCTTCAATTATATCCTAAAGTGTTTAGTATTTACTAAGTGATTACAGTAATGTACCAAAGAATTTATTGACCTGTGAAATTTATAGCTGTATGATTAACATTTCAAATTTTTAAAACTAGCAGGTTCAGTAATGATAACTCCCAAAACACAAAAGCAGCTCTGTGATTATAAAACCACTACATTACTTTTTTGGAAATTATTTAAGTGATTTACAAACCTATTTACTCTAAACATCTAGCACAAAGGTGCAAGGGCAAATCAATGAAGAAAGGTTAGTCTTTTTCAGTAAGTGGCACTAGAATTCTTGGAATCCATATGCAAAAAATTAGATCTCAAACCATACCTGGTACCATATACAAAAAACAACTCAAAGTGGGTCACAGACCTAAATGTAAAACCTAAAACCATAAAACTTTAGGAAGAATGCAAAAGAAAATATCTTTGTGAACTTGAGTTAGGCAAAGCATGATCCATAAAAGAAAAAAAAATGGATAAACAGGATTTCATTAAAATGAAAACCTTCTCTTCAAAATGTTCAGAAAATGAGAAAAGCCACAAACTGGGAGAAAATATTTGCAAAACTGTTATTTGATAAGGGACCCATATCCATCATACTTAAAGAAATCTTAAAACTCATTAATGAGAAAACAAGTAACCCAATAAAAAATGAACAAATAGTAGATACTTCACCAAAGAAATTATACACATGGCAAATAAGCACATGAAAAAATGCTCAACATCATTTGTCCTTAGGAAAATACAAGTTAAAACCACAACAAAATACCATTACATGCCTATTAAAATTGCTGAACAACAAAAAATCTGACAATATCAAGTAACAGCAAGGATGTAGTAAACTTTCATATATTGCTAGTAGGAATGCAAAAGTCATACAGCCACTTTGAAAAACATTTTGGTAGTTTCTTTTAAAGTTAAACATGCACTTTCAAGTGATCTAATATCCTCACTCCTAGGTATTTACCCAAGAGACATGAAAATGAATATTCACAAAAAAATCCATTTGCGAATGTTTACAGTGCCTTTATTCAAAATTGCCAAAAACTGAAAAGAATCCAAAAGTCCTTCAACTGGTGAGTATATATCATATCCACTAGAAGGACTAAAACTTAAAAAAGATACTACCAAATGTTGATAAAAATGTGGAAGAATCAAACTCTAATATACTGCTAGCAATTAATTAGTATAACCAACAACTCTGAAAAACCCTACGAGAGTTGATTACACACATATCATACCATCTAGCAACTCCAATCTTAGTTACATACCCTGATGGAAATATATACACACATTTACCAAAAGACATGAATAAGAATATTCACAGACATTATTCTAAACATCCCCAAGGGGAGACCACTCAAGAACCCAATGATATATAAATAATAAAATAGTCACATAATGGAAAACTATACATGTAAATACAATGGGAAACTATATAAGAATGAATACCACCAAACAGAACATGGATAAATCTCACAAACATAATGTTGAACCAAAAAGATATTGTAGGATTCAATATACAAAGTTGAAAAGGAGGCAAAATGAATTTATGGTATTAAAACTCAAGATAGTGGCTGACCAGCAGGGGCTAGAAACAGGCACAAGGGGGCTTATGGGATTCTGGTTATGGTCCATTTCTTGATTTAGACACTGGTTACAAAAATGTGTGTAGTCCTGTGAGATTCATCAAACTGCATTCTTCTAATTTGTGTACTTTTATGTAATAATATTTACTTCAATAAAAATACCAAAAATATACAGACAATCACAGATTTGGGAGAGGTAGATTAGGGAAAGAGGGAAGAATATGAAAAAAAAAAAAAAAAAAGATGTTTGGCTTCCCCAAATATATAGCACAGATTGTTCTCCTTAAAGTTATCAAACCAAATAAAATATAAATTGGTACTAACCATGAAACCAGGTAGTACTGGCTGAGTAAATTTCGTCTTAAAGGAATACAACAACTGTTTTGAGCTTGCATCATAGAAAGAAAGTTGACCTAAAAGGAAAAAAAAAAAAAAGCCTAATTTATTACACAAAAACATTTAATCAAATCTAACATATCATCATGGGTAAATGTAATAACACATATTTTGGCAATTTTTTTGGTTACAAACTATAAGGACTAGACTCAGAAATTCTCACTTGAAAATCAGTAATCAGTAGTAGACATGTGTAAGAAGAAGCCCAAATCTAGTTTTCTTTCCTGATTTTCAGGATCTCCATAGTGCTTCCATAATCTGGCACTACTCTACTTATTCAACTATAAACTATTTATTTTATCATTATTTAACAAATGGTTTCCTTAACTTAGTAAAAACCAGGCTATTTCTTCTTCATTTTTACTATAACCAGCCTCTGTACCCAAATCCTATCATCATTTAAGGCTTACTTTATTAAACCTTGTCTTCTAAACACTTGAAGCCATATTCATTTCAGTCTCTGAAATCATAATTATCACTGCTTCAGTTTTATTAATTTTTAAAATACCTCACAGTCTTTCAACATGACCATGCAACTAAAATAACTGTCTTTCTGACCACCTAACTGTCCAACCTGATGGTCTCCTTACATCTGTTACTTCTTTTTTTTTTTTTTAAAGATTTTATTTAT